TGAAAGCCCTATGAAGCGGTATATAAGTCTACTGCTATTGCTATCTGTGGATTTAAATGCAGATATATTGAAATTCCTGTTCTCTGTTTGTCTCTGTCTTTTATTTTTGTTTCTGGCACAGATCATTCAGGACCAAGGGATGAAGGAGAACCATTAGCTAATGTAATAAGGAGTGATTCTGCAATTATTGGGGGTAAGAGGAACTGTAATTGCATTGTATGTACCATTTTAAATATTTAAATTTAAGTGCTGAAGCTGAGCACCCAAATAACTGAATAAGCTGCTACATTGTTAACTTGTTTAACATTGTATACATGTTTTAGAAGCTGATAGAATTAGATTGGGCAGTCACAAATGGTTATATATCTTCAGGCATGTGTTCAAGCTGCAGTGGAAATATAGACCCAATTTTTCCTCAAAAAATCTCAATCTTTCACAGTATTGATTTACCCACAAATGCTTTATAAATGTTTCATTTTCTTCAACCATTTAAGTACATGTTTGTTTATTTTTAAAATCATCCTTTTAGTAATCCTATATTTGCAACGGTGGTTTGAGTTCTTGTTGGAAACATTGACTTACTGAGAATGTGTCTATTACAATCAAACCCCAAAATCTGTCTACTAAATGTATATATACAGTAGATACATACTGAAACAATTCCAAAGACCTCTGTGGGAATTGGGACTTTGCAATATAATTTTATTTTTATGCAGCAGCAATGCCAGATAGTGATTTTGCTATCTTTCAAATTGTTTGAAATTGTATCATTTTATTTACTGTATGTACTGATTTTTCATTTAAAACCATACTGATGGCATTTCAATACAGTATTGGAAGACTTATAATATTTTATGTAGCAATACTTTAAGATTCATATTCTTCTTTCTTTATATTTGGCTAAAACACTTAAGATGGTATACTTTGGCAGCGTTCCCTTCAGTTGTCCTTTAGGTACAACCTAAGATTGAATTATTTGGAGTTTAATACATCCCTAACTCTGCAAGGTTTTTGGAAGGCAAATACTCAAAATATAAGTTCAAAAAGCTTTACTTATACAAGATTGCAGTCTTCAAGTCCCAATTAAAGAAGAACAAAACAGTAAGTTCATAATGCACTGGAAGTTTCCATTCCAAAAGGATTCAATTTTAGAAGAATGTCACTCGAAGACTAGAGATGGACTGTATGTAATTTGGGAATAAATTATTCATATCATCTATCAGTAGCATTTTTAGAGAGTAAGTACCCTATTAGTAGGCCAAGTCAACGTACTTCAGGAAATATGCCCTAGTGGAAAAAAGACAAAATTAGATCATGAAGTCTCTTTAGGGTGAAGATAATAACTCATGGAGTATTACTGGGTTATGTTGGTGAGTCTTCTTTGTAACATTATCTCAGTGCCAGATGCTATTATGGTAAGGTTAGTGGGTTATATAATTCATACAATACATTTCTAGAATGACATTATTGTGCTAGTGAAAAAATTTTCTTGTAGCTATAATAAGATGTAATTAAGCCTTAGTGAGATCTGTTTATGCTAAATGAAGATTCCACCGTGCCCAGAGAGCTTTTATCACCAATGCTTGTAAAGCGACCACCTGTCCTGTTTTTCCTTCTAGTATAAACTATGGTACAACTATACTCATGTTCAATTAAAAAAATAAACAATTGTAATTTTACTCCAGCTGTATTCACTTCTATGTCCATGTATTGATGATTTGAATATTAATTAATAACTTGTTCATTCTCATTATGGCGTTGCCTCCAACACACACATACAATCAGTAGATTCTGAAATAATGAAAGTCTGTCCATCTATAATTTAATAATAGCAAGAACAAAGAAACATAATCAATTTTAGGCTGTGACTATATTATGTAATACAAAAGCATAAGTTGCAAATGGGCACTATACAATATTAATTCATAACATTTTTAATTATGTCACAGTAGTGAGATTTGCACCTGTATAAATTTAATAAATCTATATCTTACCAAAATTCTTGTTATCATGCCTTTTATCTGGGTGAAACACTGAATCAAAGGGAAACAATTTTTGAAACTAAGTCCTTTGAATGGGCTAACCTACTGAATGTGTGAAAAATCCAAGACCCCTGACTTACAAAAAAAATGAAAGTTGGAGAAGTTGTGGCTATTTCAATGCTACTGGCTGCTGCTGTGCTGCTTCTATGGTGATGAGATCTTTATTTTCAACATTCTGTGACAATTTCCAAGTCAATCTTGCAATCCTTTGCTCGCTCTCTTATTCAGAAAAAAACATTTATGTATTTATTTGAAAAAAGAGGGGAATGAAGGAAGGGGAAGAGAAGGGGAAAGAAAGGGAGGGAGGCAATTTCTGCCAACTTCTCAAAATGAAATTCAGTGGGGAAGCTGGTAGTCAGAGGTTGCTGCTGCTTCCAATGTTCTCCCTTTATCATTCTGTTTTTCTATTTAGGAAAGGAAATATGTGTTAAATGATGAACCACTGGGGAAGAGGTTTTCTAGTAAATACAGTAAATAAAATTTACAGAAAATCTGGATCAGTTCTTATCATATGGTTATACATATTTTTTTCTAATGTCTATATTATAATAAGTTTCTTGCATATCTTCCCCCATAAATCTCTTATTGAAATGGTTTGTAGTTGCATCATAACTTATTCAAATAAATATTGTTTGGAAATGTCCCTGATTAATGCTGATATTTACTCAATGTTCCTAAATACATAGCTTTAATGAATTCTTTCTGGCAGAGTCAAGTAGATGGCAATGGATTTCATTTTGATGTATTTTAAAATAAAGGAAATCTATAACAGATTTCTTTATATAACTGTCTAAAAGAAGCTTTAAAAATTACATATATATATAAATGTGGCCTTAAAATGCTGTTTGTGTTTTGCTGTTGGACCGTTTGCTCTTATGAATAGAAGATAGTATTTGTAGCTCAGCAGTCTTGGTGCTCTCTGAGCTGGTTTTTTTCTTGCAAACATTGCATTACCAAACTAGATAACATCATCAGTGCCAACATCATCATTAGTCTTGCAATGTATTCTAGTATATTTTTAAATTAAGATAGCAATATATTCTCTAGTGTAATGGGCTAGAAGAATCTATAATTATGCTATGTTTTTGGATGTGCTACAAAATATACTGTGTTATTTTCTTTTCTCTCCCCAGGTGTGATTGCTGTAGTGATATTCATTCCACTTTGCATTCTGGCCATTGCTGTACGGATTTATAAAAAGAAAAATGTATATAAAAAGAAGGAGGTGAAGGGATCAGAAAATGAGGATAGTGCAGAGACTGTCCTGAAAAATGAGATCAACGTGCAAAATACAATCAATGAAAATCAAAAGGAATATTTCTTCTAATTTGCTTTTCTGATCTAGTTTAATCAGAATAAAAGACAGTCTGACTTATTTGCTAACCAAGTTCTCAACTGGAAAAAGAAAGAAACTGTTGTATTTGAAGAACACACAAAATAGATTGGAAATCTATTAAACGGCATATGTTCAGTCTTGGTGTTTGCTATGGCAAGCCTCTTTAAATGACATGCATTCCTTAGCTATTATAACATAGATGCATTTTATGTGAGAGTGAATTAGATATTGTAACCAAACCCATTGTTGGTAGTTTTCAGCCTTTTTGCTGTGACTTTCTAAACTGAAAGTTAAACTTGATACGTATCATGAGTTTTGAATGGGGGGGAAATGGTCATTTGTTTTCTTCCTTTCAGTCCATCCTTCCAAGACATCTATTTTTAAAGCAATTTTGTTTAAATATTCTACAGTATTTTCTTTGATACCATTGGGCTGTTTTGCAAACCAGAGGTATGCATGCTTAAGAATTAACTGGCTTAAGAGTGCAGACTTCCAAATCGAAGTGTTTGTGCTTCTTTCCTTTTTTTTAAGCAACAACACACACTATGCATCATTATCTTCATCAACAGTTCTCTCCTGCATCACCCAGCAAGTCTATTACAGTCTGGTGATAAAGAACTCAGTATTACTTTAAAAGCTTGTTTGTATGAAAAACAAAGTGTGAATGAAAATCTGGTGGTAATACACAGTAGTCAAAATGAATAACAGGGTAGTCACCTAAGGAATCCAAACCTTAAACTCTCCACAAATTATGAATGGATATCTTTCAGTTTTCTTGACATGTTACTACAGCTTGAATGTATAGCAGATTACCATTTTATGTAATCTTGAGATGGGAGGTGCATACACACAAACACATACACACTCCCAAAGATACACAAAAACTCCCAAGCACTCATATATATGAAAGGTGGCATACACAATGATTCAGAAGCTTTAGAATTACCTAAGGATGGCTTATCTGTACTATAGGCAGTCCTCGCTTAACAATCAGTTGCTTAATGACTGTTTGACATTGCAACAGATAAAACAAGTTATGTACATCTCATTCTCAGTTATAATGTTATAACCCAGTGGTCATGTGATTGCATTTCAGGCACTTAGAAACCAGCTCACATTTACTAGCAGTTGCAGCATCCAACATTTATGTGACAATTTTTTTTTTTTTGTCAGTTTTCAGTGTTTTTTTGTTGGTTTTCAGCAGAAAGCACCCATTCGGGAGAATGAATAACATCACATAGATTGCTTAACAACCATGGTGATCTGCTTAATGACTATTGTAAAAATGACCTTAATGACCACAATGACTTAGGATCAAAATTCCATGCCTAATTATGGTTGTTAAGTAAAGACTCTCT